AAATTAACGTAACATATCATTATTGTTTAACATAAGCTAAACATTGATGCTTGGTACATCATTTTTCTTGGTATAAACAAGGGCGGACCCACATGGGGTCATGTGGGGTCAAAAGACCCCACAAAATTTCGGATTGTTTTCTTCAGAAAATGATTGTTTTAACTCGTTTTCGACCCACTTTAATACATACAAAATGAAATCGAAATATTGCATTTATAATATCATTTCTAAGCACCCATAATCTAGTTTTTCGCTTCTTAATGGTGTGCGAAATGATCAACCATAACAAAAGTTACGTGCATCAAAGTAGGCCGTTCCAAATTAGTATTTCGAAAATTTCGATAATATGCTAACTTTTAAAATTTGCCGATGATCGTATACTATCCAAATCTATAAATCGCTTGCATTATCTAGAAGTTCGTTACGAAAACTACATCGTAGTCATATCGAATGATCCAAACAGATATCGAAAATAGTTAAATATGCGTTAAACACATGTAATAAAAGAGACATTTAACTCGTCTTTTTAAAAAAAAAAATTTATTTCATTAGCGTTTATTATTTCTTCACGATAAATTTTTCAATATAATTTACATCATTTTATTAGAAAATTTTACATTAAAAATGATATCAAAAATTCTAAATTCGTTACGGATTAAATGTAATTTGAATTACTTTCAAATTATTTTTTCGTAAAACTTAAATTTCATTTACTTCCTACATTCAATTTGATTTACTCGTCGTTAGCTCAACATCCATAAATGATATGGTAAACAAAACTATACATGTAGCAAAATTCATTTAACAATATTGATAATGATAGAATTATATGACATTTTCAAAATGTCAAAATGCGTAGTAACTTATTTTTATAAATATTATATTGTTTTAAAAAATTACATATTAATTTTTGGAGTTAAGTACAACCCGCGATGATGACCTCGAATGTGATCGTGCCCTCACATGCTCGGCGAGGTCCCCATGAATAAAATAATCCCGACCCTATGTGTGTGTGTTGTGTCAACCCCACGATTATTTATGTGGGCACTGTAGCACGACTTTAATTTTTGACCCCATAATCCAAAACGGCTGGATCCGCCCCTGGATATAAATATATACTCATCCTTAATGTTCCAACCAAAATGACAATCCTGTTTTCCATTAGATCTCCTAACATAGAGTTATATGGATAAATTTTTTCCTTAATAAATTATTCTTCCCAGTAAAATAGTTGAACATACATCATATAATATTCAAAATTCCATATGAAAATGTTAACTTTGTTAAAAGGAGTAATCAAGACTTTATATCATAATTTACATTTCGATAATTAATCAACATGAGTTTTATTTCATAACATGCTCTGCAAGATGGTAACTCGTTTGAGCATTTCAGTATTGAAATTCTATGTTAAAATGTCAAAATTGTTAAAACGAGTATGTTGGTCTATATTTCAATAATTATATATTTCAATAATTAGCCGATGTATAATTTATCCTTTAATAATATGTATAAGCGAGTTCTTATATTTATGTATCACTCCAAAACTACATTTCTCATGTTTTTGATAAAATGAGGAATCTTGTCTCATGAGTTAGCGTGTTAAATAAAAATATCAATAAATTAGTTTGCTTTTTATTTAATAACTCAATTTTTTTAGTTGAGATGGTCGAGATATTGAATAGAACCTCAAATATACGATGGAAGACACATTTAGACAAAGAAAAATATTATTTAGTTAGAGAGCTGTTAATCTGGATAATTGCATGTACTATAATAAAATATTTAATTCACAAAACCCATGTTTGGAAGCAATTGAACAAAGACAATTGTTTTGTTTTAGTACAATCAAGAGAGATCTCAATGTAGAATCTTTTTTTTTTTTTTTTTTTTTTCATTATCTGGTCTATCTGGTTGTCAGTATTTTAGGATCATTTTAATATATATTTGTGTTGCATAGAGAGGGAAAAAGAGAACATTAGTTATACTTTATTTTCTGGCCCGTAATTTTTTATTTTTTATTTTAGAAAAAAGGAGAAAGCCTAACTAAAACTAATTGAAAGTCTAGTCATACAAGTTCTAGATAATTGAGGTACATCGAGTCTAGCATTACATACCTCAAGAAATGATCTTACCAAAACTATTAAATTCAGTCAATCTAAAAATCAACTTATCTCGATCTAATCTAATTAATACCTCTATTTTAAACCCACAACTCCCACATATTCCTCACTTTCAACACAACACAAATAATTATACGCACAACACGTCACTATTGTCGTAGAGCAACACAAAAAATACTTGAAAGAACTCGTTAATTGTCAAGTTCAAACATATTAACAAACCCTATTGTTGTTGGGAAATGTGGATGAAACACCTCCACATCCGAGAAATATGTCCAAAGAACCTCAATAAAAAAGAAGGGAGGGGGAATAAAAAAAAATGGAGCACCACAAGAGGTAGAAAGTGCTATGAAAACAACCACATGCTTCCCTTTTCCATCTGTTGTACATTACCCACTAATCATTAATTGGAATAAAACCAAACGAAATTGACCCCATCAACTAGCCAATAAGTGGAAGCCAACTCTACTTAGCCAACCATTACATATTTTCATATCAATCTTTTAATTTATTATTATAAAATGAGGAAAAAAAAATATTTTTGTAACATAATTGTCCTTGCAAGACACGATAAGGAGACATGAGGTGGGACAACTTTGTTTTTTATTCTTTATTGTATTTAAATAGAGGAAGAAACTAATGACTCATACATTTGTTTTTTACATTGTTTTAGGAAGAATTTAAGATGGAACAAATCCCACAAGCCACAATTGTTTCATTGATGATTGGACCAAGATTTCCAAAGTCGTGATACATAATTATAATATCTTTTAACTTGGAGAAATAACTTATACGTGTTTATCTTATTTTCTACCATTGACAAATATAAAATTTGAAATGAATCAAATTGGTATGTCTCATTAAATTGATATATTTTAGTCGAATTGGTCAGTTAATATCAAACTTAAGAAAGTCTAATCGATCCATATTAAGCATAATCAACTACCGATTAAAAAGGCATAAACAAATTACTTTTTACTACATAAAAAAAATGCATATAGAAAATAGCACTATTAAATTGTCACAATTTAACGTTAGGTAAAAATTCTTGCACAATTTTATTTTCCCAAAAAAAAAAGAAAAAAGAAAAAAGGAAAAAAGAAATATGTAACCACCCCCCCCCCTTCCCGCCCCACCAATTTCATTTGCGGCATTTCTATAATTCCATCCCATGCCATTCCTACTCTTCCCGCAAAGCCTTCTTATTTCATTCTCTTCCTTTTTATCTGCCGTTGAATCTCCTCCAGCTCTATTGCACCAAAAAAATTCAGAAATTGAACAAATTCTTTGAAACTTTCTTGTTCTGATAATAATGGCATCATCGTCGATTGGGAATCCTGATGCAAACTCAAATCCGTCGCCGAAAAAGAGAAGAAAAATCGGGGTGGAAACTCAGTCCCAAATTCATTCCCATGAGAAGAGATGGAAGACGGAGGCAGCGCAACAGATCTATTCATCGAAGCTTGTCAATGCTCTCTGCCACCTCCGCCGCCCTGATTCCGCAACCGCTTCCGGCCACGCCGTCCGTGAGGCTGCCGATCGTGTCCTCGCTAACTCTGCTAAAGGCCGGACTCGGTGGAGCAGGGCGATCCTCACGGGTCGACTCAGCCTGCGACTCGCTCAGGTCAACAGGAAACACAAAAGAGCATCAAAACCGATGACCGGAAATTCCCGGTTGAAGAAACCGGTGGTTAAGAAAAAACTGCCGCCTTTGCAAAGAAAAGTGCGGGTACTTGGCCGTTTAGTTCCTGGTTGCCGTAATCTCTCAATGCCGAACCTCCTTGAAGAAGCGACTGATTATATTGCGGCTTTAGAAATGCAGGTCAAAGTTATGACTTCCCTCCTAAATGGCCGTGGTGGTGGCGCCGGTTCATCTGACCGGGTCAGCTCAGACCAGTCTTTTACGTCTTAGTATTCTTGGAGGTGTTTTTTTTTTTTTTTTTTTTTTTTTTTTTTTGGTTTTTTTTTTAAAGGGGGTTTTTTTTTTTTTTTTTTTTTTGTTTGTTTGGGTTAATTTTTAAAATTTTTATATATTTCTGTATTTTTTTATTTATTTATTGTGCAGATGTCGTGCTAGCAGCTAGCAACATATCTTTACTCTTATTTTATTGCCTTTTGAATTATAATTATTTATTCTTTTTTAATTTCACATTAATTGGTTTATTAGTTTGGCGTATGATTTAATGCATGTTTGGTATTGATTTTTCTCCTAAAAAAATTAAATTTTTAACATTTATTTCATTATTACAGTCGTCATTTTGACTTCTTCTCTCACAGATAGTATCAACTTTTTTCTCTAACGGTCAAAGAATCAATTCTTAAAATCACTACCAAACAAAACCTTAATCATAAACGTTGTTGAATATTTCGTTGTTTCTTTATGGATGATTTTTTTAAAGGGTATAAATGTATTATTAATGATTTGTGGGCACTATTACAATCAATTGGAAATACAAAATGAAGTATAAGGGCTCTCGACAACTTCGCCAATGGGAATATTTTGTGATATATCATCCCTTTCTCTGAGCGAGTGGATATACATGCCTATCATCCCTATAAGTTTTTAAATAAAGTATCTCAATAATCAAATGGTTGAGCATCCCTTTAAGGTAATGAATGAATGAATGAATAAATATGTACATTGAATGAAATGTAATGTACTTGTTACGTAACATATATATAGTTTTCATAACTACATGAATATTGATTTATGGTTGAAATGTATTCATTAGCATATGTTAGAGGACAAGTAATATATTTGACTTATTTAATGATAATAATTGTATACTACTAAATAATATTAACAAAGTGTAATGTATCTATCATGTTTGGCCCCCATTAAATTCTGTTCCATTACATTCCATTTTTCTCTCTCCTATTTTCAAGTATAGAATTTTTCATAAAATAATATTACACATAAATAAAAAACTTTTTTTTTTCAACTACTCATTTAAAAATATATATATATATATTTCATCCATTTTCATTTTTAAAAAATGGGGGTCAAACGGGGGCTAAGTAGTCTTTGATATTTTTGAAGATATGAAACTAAAGAAAAAACGGTTGGAATATAAAGGGCCAACACTCAAACCCACATTTTTCCAAAAAAAGTAGGCAAAATTGGACCAATAACGAAAAAAGGCTAATGGAGACTTGCCATGTGCTACATTTTAAGAAGGCCCCATCACACCACATATGCACCATGTGATATGGTAGTAACAATTCAAACTTTTTCTCTTTTAATAATGTAAAATCGACTATCTTTTCCATGGGATTCAATTGTTTTATGAATAAAGATTTATGGTGTAGGGTAATTGTTGCATTAACAAATTGCATGGTCCAATACTACAAACAACTCATTCGAAGAAAAATCCTAAGAGTTAGTAGTATTGAAATTTGAAATTCCATTTTAAAAGATAATTTTGTCAAAGGGAAAAGTTTTAGTCGATATGAGATAATACACTTAATTAATTAGTTCCTACGAGATATTGGCTTTGAGCGCACCAATTTTTGAATTAAAATGCTTGTTTAAATTTTAGACATGCCGAGTTGCTTGTTTGCTAAATGAGATAGAATACCATATTAAGAATTGAGAATTCAACTTACAATGTCAATATTGTTAAGAAGAGCAACTTGAGCCTTCATATGTTATTTAACTATTTAATTTTTAATCAATGTGTAGTACCCTTAACAAATAGTGCATTTACGTGGCTGCGGGTTCTCCCGTCATAAAAAAAAAAAAAAAACAAATAGTATATTTACTGTTTAAAAGGTTTCAATATTGTTTTGGAAAATAACTAAGCTTTTAAATGCTTTTTATTTGCGTCATGTTTAATCGATGAATTATTACCTTAACAAGGAGTGTATTCATAAATTTGTATGCATAGAAAAAAGAAGAAGAAGAAGTCTGTTATTCTTTTTGTTTAACATGATTAGTTAATTTTCAACAATTTGTTATTATTTGACTTTTTCTTCATAATTTTTGTACATTATAAATCATGAGTATACACTACAAAAGATTTCAATTTTAACAATGAAGATTTTGATGGTTAAAAGTTTCTTTTATATTATTTGGTTAAAAAGTGCCGTCGAGAAAATTTTAAAGATCGAACTATTGGGAAAAAAAATTGTTGTTAAAAGTAAAATTCCTTGTAATAATAGGCAATATTGTTGTAAATTTGGCATTCGGTATAAATTTACGAATTACTTTTAAAATAAGAAGAAAAAGGCTGGGGAGGCTAATTTTAATTCTTTATATAGCCACATGTCCATGGCATGATGGAACAGATCAAGTTGTAAAAATAATTTACACCCCAACACTTAATTTACCCCATTTTTCACTCCAAAAATTCTAATGGCAAGTTGAATTTTTTTTTAAAAAAATAGATAAAATTATTTTATTGTATTGTAGAGCAATGTTCAATTTCATAAATAAAACATATCTTAAAAGATTGAACTTAGACTGACTTAAAATAAATTCAATTTTATCTAGCTCAATTAGTTCTCTTCTCATATTTGTTCTTTCCAAAGAGAAAAGAAAAAACTATTGACTAGCGACATTTGTTTTCTCCAATTCAAAGTTCTACCTAACATTGTGTTAGACTTGTACATTTCAGACATGAATAATAGCACCCGACAAACTTTAAAAATGTTAAGTTTTAAACCATTTTTTATCACACAATCCAACGACAAATATCATGTAATTAAGTTCCACCATGCCTTTCTCTGAGTGAGTGGATATACATGCCTATCATCCCTATAAGTTTTTAAATAAAGTAACTCAATAGTCAAATGGTAAGAACGAAACATCATCAGCATGATGAACAGAATCTGAGCATCCCTTTAGGGGAATGAATGAATAAATATGTATATTGAATGAAATGTAATGTAATCACATATAATTTTCATAACTATATGAATATTGATTTATGGTTGAAATGTATTCATTATCATAAGTTAGGGACAAGTAATATATTTGACTTATTTAATAGTAATAATTGTATACTACAAAATAATATTAACAAAATGTAATGTATCCAAGTAGTCTTTGATATTTTTGAAGATATGAAACTAAAAAAAAAAAAAATGGGGAGGGAATGGTTGGAATCTAAAGGGCCAGCACTCAAACCCACATCTTTCCTCAAAAAGTAGGCAAGAAAAAAAAAAAAGAAAAAAGAAAAAAAAAAGGGGCTAATGGAGACCGGCCACGTGCTACATTTTAAGAAGGCCCCACCCCACCACATATGCACCATGTGATATGGTAGTAACAATTCAAACTTTTACTCTTTTAATAATGTAAAATCGACTATCTTTTCCATGGGATTCAATTGTTTTATGAATAAAGATTTATGTAGGGTAATTGTTTCATTAACAAATTGGATGGTCCAATACTACAAACTACTCGTTCGAAGAAAAATCCTAAGAATTAGTAGTATTGAAATTCCATTTTAAAAGATAATTTTGTCAAAGGAAAAAGTTTTAGTTGATATGAGATAATAAACATAATTAATAAGTTTCTACAAGATAATGGATATACATGCCTATCATCCCTATAAATTTTTAAATAAAGTAACTCAATAATCAAATGGTAAGAACAAAACATCGTCAGCATGATGAACAGAATCTGAGCGTCCCTTTAAGGGAATTAATGAATAAATATGTATAATAGTGCATTTACGTGGCTGCGGGTTCCCCCGTCATTAAAAAAAATAAAAATAAAAAAATTTAGTGTATTTACTGTTTAAAAGGTCACAATATTGTTATGCAAAATAACTAAGCTTTTATATGATTTTTATTTGCGTCATGTTTAACCGATGAAATATTACCTTAACAAGGAGTGTATTCATAAATTTATATGCAAAGAAAATTAAAAAAAAATGAAGTTTTTTATTCTTTTTGTTTAACATGATTAGTTAATTTTCAGCAATTTGTTATTATTTGACTTTTTCTTCATAATTTTTGTACATTATGAATCATGAGTATACACTACAAAAGATTTCAATTTTAACAATGAAGATTTCGATGGTTAAAAGTTTCTTTTATATTGTTTGGTTAAAAAAGTGTCATTGAGAAAATTTTAAAAATCGAATTATTGGAAAAAAATTTGTTGTTAAAAGTAAAATTCCTTGTAATAATATGCAATATTGTTGTAAATTTGGCATTCGGTATAAATTTACGAATTACTTTTAAAATAAGAAGAAAAAGGCTGGGGAGGCTAATTTTAATTCTTTATATAGCCACATGCCCATGGCATGATGGAACAGATCAAGCTGCTAAAATAATTTACATCCCAACACTTAATTTACCCCATTTTTCACTCCAAAAATTCTAATGGCAGGTTGAAAAAAAATTTAAGAATAGATAAAATTATTTTATTGTATTGTAGAGCAATGTTCAATTTCATAAATAAAACATATCTTAAAAGATTGGACTTAGACTGACTTAAAATAAATTCAATTTTATCTAGTTCAATTAGTTCTCTTCTCATGTTTGTTCTTTCCAAGGAGAAAAGAAAAAAACTATTGACCAGCGACATAGGTTTTCTCCAATTCAAAGTTATGCCTAACATTGTGTTAGACTCGTACATTTTAGGCATTAACAATGACACCCGACACACTTTAAAAAGGTAAGTTTTTAACCATTTTTCATCACACAATTCAACGACAAACACGATGTAATTAAGTTCAACCATCAATTCCTTTAGGTCATAATGGCATCGCTATCGAGGGCTAGGTTTTGGATCTAAAGCAATTCATGATAGTGCCAAAATATTGAAGGACCACAAACCCATACAATATTTTTTTGCATAGGCTTTGTTGGAGCAGTAGACAAGTGTACCTAATGTAAGCACTTTTTTCTTATTTATTTTGGTATTTGTATGGAATTTTTCCAATAAGCTCACATGCATTCATGTGACCTTTCATGAAGAAAAACCAACATATGGA